CGTAATTTCAATAAATTTTTATTGAAAAAGACTAAACTACCATATTTTTAAAGCATGCATTAAGGTGATTTTTGTCTTTTTTCTCTTAATTTTTTAGAGGTAAAACGGACAAATACTAACTCCTAAATATATTTTATAACATATTAAATAGAAAACGTATTAATCATTATGCTTTGATCAATTTTTATTGAGTTCTCTTTTTTACAATTTAACTGTAAAAATAAATTCTTAAACAAGGACACTACCTCACACTCAGAATATATCTCTATGTTTAAAGGTCAATGTTAATTATTATCTAATTCTTCTTTTTTCAATATATTTACAGAAACTTTAAGACTTAAGGTGAAGAGAAGTTTGACTTATTTATTTCGGATAGTCAATGCCATCTTGATAGATGGCATCTTCTTCACCGTTGCCAACCATACTGTCACGGTGATTGGATCTGACGCTAGCTATCTTAAACCATTCAATAGAACCTTCATTTGCTTAACCCCAGGCCAGACCGTTGATGTCCTTCTAGAAGCCAACCAAAGTCCCAATCACTATTACATGGCCGCCAGCGTGTACACCACGGCTACTCTTCCAGGTTCTTACAACAACTCCACTACCACAGCTATTGTAGAATATAATGGAAACTACACTCCATCCTCGCCGCCGGTGTTCCCCTATCTTCCTGAATATCATGACACAGAAGCATCCGTTAATTTTACCGCTAGTCTTCGCAGCTTAGCTGATAAGGAGTATCCAATTGATGTGCCAATGGAAATAAACACACATTTGTTCTACACTATTTCACTCGGCAGTCCATGCAAAAACAACTCTTGCCCAGGTATTATTTTTGAAGTATGCTTATTTTTTATTAATTAAATACAAAAATATTAATTACAAGATAAATATTATTCAGAGTACTTTTTGTACTTTATTAATAAAATTTTTCTTTGTCAATCAAAAAATATTACATGACAATTATTATTTTAAATCTATTCTTAATCCATATATAATTTTTAATTTTTCATATATAAT